TTGTCTGTATCTTTAAATATTAATGTGCACGTTATCACAGGCGTATGATCAGGAAAAGTTGACTTCACTACAATTATACTGACCTGCTAATTGCAGAGTCCGTCTTGTAGTAGATCTGCCCCTTGTACTGAAATGTAGATAGGTTGGTCTCAGCTTCAGTTCTTGAACAGTTGACGTAACGCATCCAGTTACTAACTGCACTGTCTACAGCATCAATGCACGTATTCCTTGTTCCAGTACCTCGAATCTGGAGATACACGAAGGTGAAGAAATTTTCAACTTTTTGCTAAGTAGATTTTCTCTTAAAATACTTGGTGGTTTACAGAAAACCGCAAATAAATCATTAAGTGTTACATTCATCTAATATCATATGTTTTACGCCACAGAATACACTAACCTTCCAGCCATAGCCAGATTCTTTACCGGCTTCCGGATGGCCAGATAGGACACGGCCCTCATACGGACCAAACACAAGATGGGCTGGGAGATGAGCATTGGTCCACACGCCTTTTCCTGCCCCCTTCACTTTCGAGTCGCAGACAGTGAGGGGCCAAGGGGTTGTGAGGCGAGCACGATCTTTCTCGCTGCCGTCTCGAACAACCTGTCCAAACATGCCATTGGGACGATAACGCTATTTAAAACTGTGCGTGTGCATTTGTGTATCCAAGATTATCAGTTTTTTTTGTGACCAGTTCAATTTTCAATTTAACCAAAGTTATGAGAGCATGACATTTTATGTTTGACATGAATGGCACACTTACGGGATTATCTAGAATAAGGAACAATGGATGGTACGACACTCTCCCTCTTTCTCTTCTTCACAGTCTGCGCAATCTGCAGACAAAAAAAAAAATCATGGTATCTGAATCTATCTACCTCATGTACAATCGTAAGTGCACAACTATTGTATATAATTTAATTAAGTGAAGTGAAATTAATCCAAGATTATTAAATCCACGCAACGACAACTAGGAAGATGACTCAAACGCTCTTTTCCTTACAAATAAAATCGTCATCTTTAGTAATGCTTTCTTCATAAAACAGCTTCCTTCTGCTACGACGTCGTGGGTACCGCGTCTTGGACTTCTCTCCCGAAAAACAGCTGTTTTCCCCGACCCTCTTCATCTGATCCTACACCAAGTGTTTCACTCTTAGCTGGAAGCTCTTTCACTGTTACCATCTCTGTATCTGTTGTCAACTGTGACATGGGAACTGAAAAGACCTCCTTGTCCTCTGGCTTAACATTTTCCAAAGCGGAATCTCCACTTGACCTGTCGGCTGTTGTTGGCATTATCTGGAAAATTCAAGAATATTTAAAGATCATTTCTTGGCGACGCTGTAAATAATCAATAATTTTTATATCATTTCTAAATAAACTGTTTTGACAATCCTGATATAATTGTTTAATTCTTATACACGAGAAGATATTGGTTATAGTCTGCACAACTACCCAGCGACAAAGTCGCACTAATAGTTAAAACTGTTTTGCAACACACATGTTCCAGGACTCATGCATTTCTATGTCCAGACAGAAATAGAAGCGGACACGGAATCTGGATAAAAAAGGGAGAAGTGCATCACGCAAAAACAGACAAAGGCACGAAGACAAACCTTGACAGTGCCCTTTGCACCTGCCACCAACTTGGCTGGAGTCCATAACGGTATAACATCTACTTGGTCTACACTGAGCGGCGCATCATCGTAGTTCTCACTCCTTCCGGTCCAAGCTGGAGCACTCCACTCTGCCTTCCTCTTAAGACCGCCTCTTCTTCCACCGCCCACGCTTCCACTTTTGCTCGCATACCTGCAACAACAATTAATCTCCATTATATAAGCTTCCTAAAATGAGTGTGCACGCGTCCTCATTCCCTATGCCCAGTGGAATCCTCGCCCTACCTGCTAGATCTCTCCTTCTCGGGCGTCCACTCGTCGTCTCCCTCGTCGTCGGGGACTCGAGGTGGCCTGCTGTGGCGCGACGAGCCCGTTGCGTCGCCTCCTCTGTTGTCGCACGACGAACTCCGGGAGCTTGGGGTCCAGTCCTGAAAGTGCGCCGCAGTTGTTTAAGAGACTTTGGAGAGGAAATGTGTATGGGCCGGTGATGAAGGAAATCCCAGGATCCAGTGAAGCATTTTGGTAACCATGATTATAATATTTGAAACTGGAAGAATCTAAATGACTTTGTTTAGGAGTCTTTGCATTTTGCACAAGCGCATGCGCGCGATACAGATGTATATCTAGATGTCTGCGCATAAGATTTTGTGTGGGGAAGGGGGTATGTGTGCATATGAATGAAGAACAATAATTGCATAAATACCACATGTATTCACAACTACGATTTTCCAGGCAATGTATTTGCTAACCCTCCGCTTTCATAACCAACGAGTCTTACATGGATGCCAAAAGCCTTCGAGATCATCGTGTTTCCTTTACTTCTTGGCTTACTCTCTACATTTCCTTTTGCACAATTTCTTCTGCCTCTCGGCGCTCCAACAAAGCTAATACACCACCACTTTTTTTTTTTTTTTAAGATGGAGCTCGTAAAGGGCATCGGGGCTAGTTTATTCCCCTGTAGCTATTGCGTGTTAATTCTTACCCGTCGTTTCAGTTTTTCTCTCGAGTGGTAGGAGGGGGGGGGCAGCGAAATGAGTGAGCACATGCGATAGACTTAGTAAAAAAAAAAAAAAAAAAAAAAAAAAAAAGAGCTATTCTGGGAGTATTATATACCCCCCCCCCCCCATGACGCCCCTTTTGCAGTTTATATTCAATTCAATCCAATGGTTTCCGTGTCAACAGCTTTTCTTTGTTTTAACAATGAATTTCCTTTCAGTGGATGCCTTTGTCTCCTTTTAAGAACTGACACGTCTCTAC